CGCAATCCATATAATCATCGGAGGAATAATCGCTGCAAATGGCGATCAATATGTTTGGTCTCATAGTTTCCGGAAGACTTGTAAACAAACTGATGAACCGTTTGATGCATTCATATACTCATTGTCTTCACCATAGGTTCAGACGGACTTCGTGTCGGTTGATGTGAACAAGTGTTTGATTACAATCCAAAACGCCGATGACGTCAACCATGTGGTCGTCTTCATGACTGGTTCCCAACCATTCCCAGACGGCATGGGCGGCACCGGTATTGCAATCACTTCCGCGTCAATTACCACAAACACTAATGAATTGTCTGATAGTATACTTCAGTTTCCCTGACCCGTTGTCACCGCCGACATGGATATACTTGGGATTCATATCCAACGACAAGCCTTCGGCCATATTTAAGATCACAAAATTGAAACCAACGACTGATACAAACGGTTTGTCTTGTATTGGATGTCAGATCCAGCGATAATGACTGATTTTGTTGTCCGAAGTGCTGGCAAGTGGTGATAGTCGTGGGTTTGGGTTCGCGCAGCCGATTGTGTCACACGTGGCACAGATAGGCATCTCGACGGAGCCGATGGCCGTCATCTCGCAGATGGTGTCCGACCCCAACGCCAACCCAACCCAACAAAACAATTTCGATGAGTTCGCCGTGAAATCAGCCGAAAATCTGTTCAATTATTGCACGTCTTTCTCAAACTCTTTGCAACATTACCTCAACTCTCCACTCAATCGCCAGCAGTTTATACCGATGTCTACAATACAACAATGGTATGAGAACTTCACCCGAAGATTGCGACAAAACCCATACTACTGGAGGAATTGATTGGCTTTTATTCGTAGATATGTTTTGTGATATATTTAGTGCACTATATCTGTGCCTTAAGCTCGCAATCATTGAGAAGTAATTTAAGCAAATATTCAATTACTTTGACGTTCACTGAGTTTCCGAGTAATCGATACTTTTGTTTAATTGTCAAGTCTTCGGGAAAGTCTGAAACGGATGTCAAAATAGGTGTTAATTTATCATAAAATCATTAGAGTATAGCTTTTGTTATTCATTATGTTTGTATTGCTATCATAATTGTCGTCATTTTATAGATATTATAAATTCACTCTATTTTTAAATCAAATGTTTGCGATTAAATACATTTGTTATCAAAATCAATTCAAATATAATATATTGATACCGTAACAATTTTTATATTCTTATAAAAGTGTGCACTTTATATGAATTGTCACTAATGTTTGTATGAGTTATGAAATAATGAATTAAAATTGCATTAACAGTAACTTCATTAAGGGTTTCACTAAATATAGTAAATGAGTGCAAAACCGACCGAAATGTGTTGGGAATGACATTAAATTGGAGATTTCTTTGGGTGTGAAAAATCTGAGTCCAAGTGATCGTAAAATAACAATCTTTTGCTCATCGGTTTGGCAATCGTTGAGTTGACGACAGACTTCTTGTATGTCGTGATCTGAAGTCTGGAGTACAGATCCGGTGCCTTCTATGCGATGGGAATAGCTTTTTGTGAAGCAATTAGTGCTCAGAGAATCACTTTTAACGATATCTAAAATCATGAAATATTTGGACAAAATTTTATCCGGCAAGAGATAACTTTGAATCTGAATGTCATCCAGGTTTTCTAAATAATCACTAATTGGTCTTAAATTCTGGTCTTTTGATTGAAACAAAATGTTTGTACAAAACGAGCACAAGTTCTTGGGATCAATATCTGGAGGTTTGGCCACAAATTCTTCATTATTTGAATTGAAATTAAATTGTTTGCCACGTTTTGCTATTAAATAGTATCGCAATCGAGAATTGGGAACATTTAACTGATTCGGAGATAACAGGAATTCTTGATATCCATAACCACAAGAACTCAGCGTTTGGATCAACAGTTGTCGCGCATCCGATGTCTCAAATCCCTTCACATTTTCTACTAATATATATTTCGGAAGTTTCCTTATTCTTGTGTCCAATCATATCATATGAAAAATAAATTAATTTAATTAAACTTATTCAAATTGTTACTAGACCTAGCTACTAATTTTCATGAAACTATTATTGAATACTTTGGAAATATATGTAACAAGTGTGTGAGTGAGTCCGTGCGGGTGTCATCCAGGTCTCGTTTTAGACCCAATCTATCGATATATTAAATGCAAAATGAGTTATCATGTAGTGGTCGGGTATGGTATGTGTGGTAAGACCTGGTGAAGGGCTGACAGGGAGGGCTCATAGTCAGCAAATCGATGGCCCACTCATTGAAATGGTTTTCATTAATCGACAGAATATTTCTCTCCATTTGTTGGCAATTGTGTGACAAATGGTTGTGAATATAGACACCATTTGCTGAAGTGTTGATATCAATGGCAATCAAATCGTATGAATCTATCGGCAAATCTATTCACAAATGAATATTCAATGAAAAAAGTGATTAAAACCCAAATAAAGTGATACTTTTAATGGCGAAATGCATTCCTCCGATGCCTGAGTACAGCTCCAGAACTTTGAATCTAGTTTTGAAGAGTTGTGAACAGTCTTTGATGGGATCCATGGTTGGCATCAATGAGTGCATCAAATGGTTTGAATCAATGATCACTCATCACATGATTCGCATGTCTCGCGAGCAGGTGTTGGACACAAGAGGTCACCACTGGATGTGATACGAAATGATATGAAATGAAAGATTTGGTTGAGTTTTGAGATGAAGAGCGACTCAAACGACTCGGAGTTGAGATAATTAATGACAAAAACCGTTTCCATACAAGTCTTCAATATATCATTCATAACATCAATCAATTGATTAAATGAGAAAATGTTAGAAAAGTTTAATCAAATCATACCATAAATCTTAATACTAATACAGAATATTCTGTTTTGCATCCAATTTATACACTTATTCTCCATTCACTCCACACTTACATAACATTGTGTTTGCATTTCTCAATCA